ACCGCGTTGATATCGGTGACGGTGGCGACGGCCCGTGGCTGGTCTGCCACATATTATTATTCTTATAATAATTTATTATACTTGTATATATAATATACATATTATCAAATATCACATAATACGATTATACGATTATATGTAAATTATTTTTAATTAATTGTTGAATATTGTGTTAAAATAAAAATTTACAAAAAATCCTTGCCATTTTTTTTCCTTGTAATTTCCTTACATTAAGTCATTAAGAACACTATTTTATAAAATTAAAAAAAAGGCCTATGGGGGGAATCTGACCCCCACATCCCCCCCTTGTATACGCCCCTGATACCAACGTAAGGACTTGTTGCCTGATGGTGTTAAATATTTTCGGAAGTGGCCCGCCTTAAATTTGGCACACTTAAAATAAATTGAAATGGTATCCGTTAGTAAATAACATAATATAAGATTATCTTTGGACGAATAATTTATAAATATCATCCATAATATAATTAGGTATACAAATATATAGTATCATTAGTACCTGTTATATACAGTCATACAGATGTACTATATAGGTACCTACATATTCTATTAATTACTAATTATTACTATAGACATATACCTGAATATTACTTTTAGTCATTACTAATTCATATTCTAATACCATGGATGATTGTGCAGTGTGCAGGAGGCAACACGATTTTTTTCCTACTAAGCTTAGTATGATTTTGTTATGCGATTGATAACTCATTATTAAACTATTCGATGGTCATTACTATACGACTTGTTCGATATTAATATATTATAATTTATAATGACGGCTTTTATTCTTAGTTATTTATTGCTCACTTCAAGTACCTATACAATCATAGGCGTGCGCACGGGAGGGGCAGGGTGGGCAGCTGCCCCTCCTGCGGGCTCAAGTTTTCTTACAAAATAACAAAGTTTTTAAAAAAATATTATAATACAGTTTTATATAATGAATATTATGTAAACATTGAGTGCTCGATGTACAGTGCACGATGATTTTATGTTGTCCAACTTTAAGCGAACCACAAGCGATACCGCGGTGATAACGAGTGCTTATAATCTTATTATAGCATGATGTAGATTGAGATGTGATGAGACATGAAAGTGAGTAGTAATTTGACGGCATTTAATGCGAAAAACGTTCACCGGAAGCGCTAAGAAGGTCGGTTCTTTAAATAATTAGTACCTAATTAATAATTATAATAATTAGTATGCAGTATACGAACAAATATTATAGCTCTTTACTTCCGAAGCAATTTTCGGAATTTTTAGTATTTTAGTAGTTTTATGCTCAACGTGTTGATTAAATCAGAATATACCTATCTTTTTTTTAATGTGGTGTTTTATATTGAAATTAATTTTCTATTTATACTGTAACCTACAAATCAAATTGTTTATTATATACCTAATACTATTAAATACCTATAAAGTATAATTTATAAAACAGTTTAAATAATAGGTTACATGCCTACAATAATGTATAAATTTCAATATTACCAAAGAATAGAATATTATTGATACATTAATGCATGATATAATAGTGGTACTATTTTTGGAAAAATCATGTAAATGCAATACTAAGGATTTACATTTTTTTTAAATGTTGATATTTATATGTTCAACGTGTTGGTGCAAATAATAATTTACCTATCTTACTTACTTTTTTTGTAATTGTAAATAAATAGTAAGTAGAATTAGTAAATTCAGATTTCACCAACACATCGGGCATAAAAATATATATGAATGCAGTGGCGGATCCAGGGCTTAATTTTGGGAGGGGCATGGGGGGCTCAAAAGTATATGAAAGTTCCAAAATTGGCTAAACACAGTGTAAAACAAAGGAAAACTACGGTTATTGGGGGGGGGGGGCAAATGCCCCCTTTTCCATCCCCCTGGATCCACCACTGTATGAATGTAATAATTTTCTTTGTTCATGTATATTAATATAATATAAAAAACTTTGGAGTTTCAATTACTATATTAAATTTGTAATTATTTGTAGTTTTAATGATACATAAAATGAAAATACTTCCATCACTTACATTAATTGAACTAATAACCAAAATAATATTTACTTACCTATATATTATATAATATACCTATAGGTACATTATTACATTCTGCCCCCCCTGCCAGCAAGGTCTGCGCACGCCTATGTATACAATATTCACAAATATTTGACATCATCAACGTTACCTATAGCATCATATATAAATAAACGGACGACAGATTCACGATACCAGAAGAAACAAGCATTCAAGCCAGAGACACCCAAATCATATACATGCTCCAGTCATAACAACCCATTTTTATTTTAATAAAACTACAATTTAAAATAACCACAACCGAAACACATCGTAACATTCAAATAAATCAGACACCTGAGTTAATTGTTTTGGTCAGCCCAGGTAACACCCCTAAAAAATTGTGATCTTTTTTCTTATTCACAAATAGCAATTGTTAAACAAAAACTCTTATCGGGTGAAAAAGTGCAGGAGTAGTTATCTACGAGTGTGTCTAATGTTTTTGATTACAATAATATGATAAAAGTATAAAAAAAGTTTGTAAAGAAATGTTGATTTAGGGTGTCTAGTCATTGGTTATCTCACTCATCGGGGTCAGATGTTAATCAGGAGTAAAAGTTTAAAAAAAAAAAAACCCGAAAAAAACCATTATAATATTAAAGACCCAAATTTTATTGTTCGACTTTCAAACATTTGAAAAATTCTAAGACTGGAATAAAAAAATTTCGGCTTTTACTCATTGGACTAATAAGTTTAAAAAAAAGTGTAAGCTCGGTCTATATTGTAAATTTTACAATGTTTTTATTAAAGTAAGTCGATATAATTTGACAGGTATATAATACGTAGGTATCAGATACGTGTCATTCCCAAAAAAAAAGACGTCATACAATTTAAATGTTAAATATAATTATATAGGTTGATAATATTAAAATATTAAATCTATGTTAAACTTACCTATAATTTATTTTGTTCTGAAGACCACGAGTTATTGTTGTACCTACTTGATCGATCACATATTTTAATAGCGTAAGATTAAAAATTAGTATAATAATTAGATGCTATAATATGTAATGCTCTGCGCAGAGCTAGGAGAAAATATTTACCTATTTAAGTGCCATAAAATAATTAATCCCCATTAATGATACATCGTGCCTGCGGTTCAATATGTGATCGATTTAAGATATGAAAATATACCTATACTTATTATATTATTCTATCTATGTATACGATATGACCGTATCTGGACCAGACGACCTATGAAGGATGTAATCACGTAGTTAAATAAGAGTCAGTTTTAATCTGAGATTGAAATGTTTAGAAGAAACCGTTATTTTTCAGATATATATGATCAAATTAAATATTATTAAATTACTATATTTATTAAAGAAATATATATTTATATTATACATACCTATATGATATTGTGATTAAATACGCGTCCTAAGTAGTAATAGATTAATTGTACAATATAATTAGGGTACCTATTAATTAATATTATTTATGTTAAAGAGGTCAAAGTCGATGCATTAGAATTAATGTATTGTTTATTAGAATATTGTAATAGTTATAACTAATAACACATTTTTTATTAAATATAGATTTTTAACAAATATAAATTCTTAATAACGGCCAAGTGCCAAACGTAAAAGTGTCCCTGTCCCTGTGTCAGTCATTCTTTTATCGATCCTGTCCACGTATGGTTGTCGTTCTGAGCATTCCGCTTTGAATGGCAATCGCAAACTGTGACGTACAGCAGAAAACCAGATACGGTTTTCAACTTGTAAGACTGACGGACGATGGCAAACGTGTGTTTCCGACAATATTTCTAATTTCTCTAACTTGTGTATTCATATATCATATTATATACAGTGTGTTATCGGTTGTTGGAAACACTCTATAAGTTTACAAATATTAAATATATTTGAATTCTGTTTGTTTGTGGTGCTTAATAAAGTTTGTTATAACATATTAAGGCAATTAAACAATTTTTATGCTATTTAATTTCGCACATGCGCATAACAACTTTTTTTTATTTTTAAATGGCAACCCCACTATTTTTTGGCTAACTATTTTTACTCTTATTTTTTTATGAATTTTAATGGTAAAACCTACTTCCTATGTTAAAAAAATAGCCGAGTTATGGATATTTCATTGATTGATATTATTTTTTCGACATTTTTGAATTATTCATCAATTTTATGGCTTAAATGTTTAGCACATCATGATATCTTCTAGTGATATTTTTAGTACCTACTTTTGGAAGGATCCTCTTCCCCTATAGCAACTAATGTTTTTAAGTTCGTCTTCTTAGGCGATTTAAAAAAAAAAAAAAAAAAACAATGTTAATACATTTTTTTTTTTTTTAGTTCAAAATTACATTTATTCATTATCTTATAAATTGTTCAAACTAAAATAAAAAAATAAAATTTATAAACATTGTTTTTTTTTTTAAATCGCCTAAGGAGACGAATTTAAAAAAAATAGTTGCTATATGGGAAGATGATCCTTCCAAAAGTAGGTACTAAAAATATCACTAGAAGATATCATGATGTGCTAAAAATTGATGAATAATTCAAAAATGTCAAAAAAAATAATATCAATCAATGAAATATCCATAAATCGGCTATTTTTTAACATAGGAAGTTGATTTTACCATTAAAATTCTTAAAAAAATAAGAGTAAAAATAGTTAGCCAAAAAATAGTGGGGTTGCCATTTAAAAAAAAAAGTTGTTATGCGCATGCCCGAAATGAAATAGCAAAAAAATTGTTTAATTACCTTAATAAGTTATAACAAACTTTATTATGCACCACAAACAAACAGAATTCAAATATATTTAATATTTGTAGGTATATAATATTATAATATATATAATATATTATACACTTATATTATACCTACATATTACATATAAGTCCAGACTTGGGAGATACACAATAGTTATGCCGATAAATTAGAAACATCGTACAGTCTAAAAGTTGAAAACCGTATCTGGTTTTCTGCTGTACGTCACAGTTTGCGATTGCCGTTCAAGGCCGAATGCCCAGAACGATAACCACGTGAACAGGAGCGACAACAGAATGACCGCCAGGGACACGTTTACGTTGGGTACTTGGCCGTCGGTCTCGTCGTCGCACGACCGGCGGATATCACCATCGGTCGCAGTCAGCTCGGTCGTCACCTTCCGCTTAGGACGGCCGACCGCGGTCACGTCGCCGCTTGCTGCCTTGGCCGCTGCCCGGACGACGCGCGTCGCGCCGGCCAGTACGGGGAACCAACGTTTGCGGTCCGCCAACAACGGTACCACCGCGCTGTCCAGCCAACGGTGCATGTCCGCCCGGAACTGTTCCGGCGCTGGCGACGTGCAGCCAACGGCCAGTCGGTAATACCGGACGAGCAGCGGACGGTGGTCATCGGCCGACAGCCACGGCCTGTCCACGGAGAACAGCCGCTTGCCGACCACGAACGGAAACGCCAGCGACCCCGGGTTCTTGTTATCGTCGAATGCTGGTACCGGCACGGCGGTGATCAATTCCCTGCCCACCGGTACGACTTTCGTCAAGAGGGCTGCACACGCGTTTTCAGTCTCCTCAAAAATGGGATCGTCCGCGTCGTCGTTTTTGGCGGCGGCGGCGGCGACAGCCGTGCTCTGCTGACCGGCGTCTACGGGCGTCATCCAACCACGTCCGTCGGTATCCAAAATAAACCTGTGCCAAAGGTAGTGTTTGTTAAAGCAGCATATTATTGTGAAAACTGGACTAACGTGTAAAGGTAACGACTTTAAACAATTTTAAGCGTTGCAAACAAGTTGCCTCGCGAATAAACTAATTGGGTACCTACGCCAAAGGGAACGATAAAACACATTTTGACTTTAAAATATAAGTAGGTAGGTACGCAACAACGCAGGTAGTAGATACCTACGTACTAGGTATATAGCTATATATCACTCACTTGATCTTCCGTTCCAACGCGAACAGTTCGTTGGTGACTGCATAGCTCTCGTGGCCGTTGTAATATCCGTTCTTTACGTGTGGCAGCATCACCCCTTGAAGATAAGCGCCAATCACATCACAGGCCGTAACCATAGCTATTTTCCTCGTCTTGTCGCTGGAGATCGTCTCAAATTTGTTTACAATTAACTGTACGTACATAAGAAACGATTTTCCAGCGACCACTTTTTTCGGAATTAACTGGTCCATTAAAATGCGACTGCGCAAGATTGCCACATCTTCGGTCGTCCACGTTTTGGATGATACGTCGTCTATGCTGTACAAAGCTGTACCGACGTTGAAAGGCATCGCAGTGATCGGAAGGATAAGAGCGAGAAAGGATATGAAACTAAACATGTTTTATGTTTTGCAATGAGCGTTCAACAATAATATGACGAAACGATGAATATTATATTAATATTATACCTACTGTTATTTTCAATGACAAACGATAATTTATTGGCCTTGTTGATTGTTGTTAGGGGTTGGATAATACATATTGTTTAGGTATATTTACGATTTAAGTTTTATAAGCCAGTACTTTTTTTCACATAATATTTCACTATACTAATACTTGATTGTTTTAAGAAAAACTCTTTGTAATAATAGTTACGGCCCGCCCACCGGGATACCGGGAAGTTCCTGGCGGCCTGACCCAGTGGCGTAGCCAGGAATTTTTTATGGGGGGGCTAAGTATACAAATACAATGTGTTTTTTATTTACGCTTTTAATTTTTTTATTAATCTTGATAAAATTCTAAGGTCAACATCGGTCAATGGGGGGGCTATAGCCCCCTTACTCCTTAGCCACCCCCCTGGCTACGCCACTGGCCTGACCTGTTGCGTCTTGCCATTGACCTAAACGGTGGAATACGATTGCGCGCAGTGCCGGAAAAACAAGGAACAAGATTTTGACTCTTCTAAGAAAGAAACAGTGTACAGTATTATATTATAGTACAAAGGAATGTGTACTAGAAATTGTAAAAACCTCTGCAGGCTTGCCAGTGGCATATTCAAGGGGGGACGTGGAAGGTCGGTCGGGTCAGATCCCTCCCCCCCACCATTGACTTTGAATAATATTAAATGTAAGAACGTTGTGTTTAAAAAAAATATTTTGTAATTACTATTTAACTTTTAAGAAACGGGGGTCCAATTTTACGTGTAAAATATTGAGGGGTGAGGGGGGCAATTTTGTTTGCATACATCGTTTTTATCGGGCCAATAAATTGTAGTAGATCCTAAAAAATGTATCGGAAGGTTCCGGTACCCAGATTTAAGAAAGGTTTCGTTCCATAACTGCTCTATTTCGGTATGGTTCCAGTCCTTGCCCCCTGGTTCCAATCATGATTTTTTCCTTGTGCTTTTTAGTTTTTTTGCTTCTATGCTATGAAATCTTGACTGTCATAGATTTTCTTTACTATAATTTCTTAATGTCATTAAAACGAAAAGGTTGAGCGAAAACAAGCGATACCATACTATTTTATAGTTTAATAGTCAAGATTTTTCAGTGTCCATGCAATTTACATAATAAAATGTATGTATTTATTATTATTGCCTATGGTTATAGGCACATTAATATCGCCACATGTTTTAATATTTTCTATTTAAAACAGTACATTAGAAGACACAATTTTATAATTAGAAATAATTTTAAGATTTATAAGAATATACACTTGTTAGTTGTTGAGGTAAGCAAACCTTTTACAATACTTTAAAAGTTTAAACAAGTCAGAATATTTCATTTTTATTTACATTGGTAAAGTACCTAACTTTTACATTATTGTGATTTTATAGCTGAAGAATATTGTTTTAAATATTTGATTTTTAGAAACCATTGGCTTAACTAGGGGGGGGCGGGGGGTGAAAGAGGGTCTTTAGCATTCCCAAGTTCTAATTTAGCATCCTGTGTTTTTTTAGGTCTATCATTATTGTTGCAATTGTCAACACTGACTTATTATTATTATTAGGATAAAATAACATCAATTTTAGGGTTTAAAATATAAAGAATATAGCACCCCACGTTCTATTTTAGGTCTAGTTGCGCCTATGTTAAAAACAGTAGTACAACGGATTAGTAACTGTACCGAGATGATGCTAATTTTAAAACTTGAAGTATTGTATATATTTTTATTTTAATGTAACATCTTCTATTGTTAATAATATATTAAGGTATATTACATTTTTTTTAATGATACATTTTATTTCGTTATTAGTTACAAGTAAAAAAAAGATTCTTTACACAGTTTTAAATATTAACATAACAAATTAAATATTTAGGATTTCAAAAAATTTAAAATTTAAAAGTTACTATTTGTATTACACACATTATCACAGGGTAGTAGTATTGTCAAAGCAACCAGTAATTATTAGTCTTAGCTAAATCAGAATTTTCCAATGGACAGACATCAAGGATACAGAAACAATTGACGACAAAGTGGACAGGTACATTTTGATGATAGCCATATGGTTGTGTCGTTTTGAGGTTGCCTTGATTCATACCTAAAATCAATTAATTATAATTTTTTACAATACAATAACATGTTTTTTCTACAACAGGGTTTTCTTACACTTAGCCATGCAATCAACACACCACATAGGTCTGCATTGACACGAAGTACAATTTACTATGTCATTGCTATCTTCACAACATTTAGTAAGTTTAATATCCGGAGGATTCACCAAGCAACCAGCACATACATCGTCTTCTAACTAATAATAATATTACATTAATAAAATTAATCTTATTCAATTTTAATATATTTTATCAAGCGCCAAATAGTAAGCTACCAACACTTACAACTTAGTATTAGTTGAAATTAAGTTGAGTGGTTTTTTTTTTTTTATTACCAAACATTTAAATTACTTAAAACTAAATTAGATTGAGTTTTTTTCTACAGAATGGTCAAATTATTTCAATTTTTTAAGCTTTACATTATTAACATTTTCATAAAAATTATATCTAAGTATAATGTGATTATTGAAATATTGTGAATTGAAACCTGAAAAACAGACTGACAAAAACTAAATATTCTAACCCTGATAAAATGTTTTATATTTATATATTCATTTTTATGTTTAACATATTATTATGCGTTATATTTTTAGGAAATATAAGTGATTAAAATCACATAGGTTTTAATATAATGCACAATTTGGTTATTCATGATTTAAATATTTAGTAAATGAATAGATCTGAGGTCAGTAATGAATCATAGAACACAAAAATTTCATCAAGTAAAATTTATTGTTTGAAACATACTTCTGCTGAAACTATAACATTAATATACTGGATTTTGGGAAACTTGATCACGAAATACTTCAATAAATCGTTCAGTTCTTGAGCGCTGTAACTTGACATTATCTGCAATCTGTATAGGATGGCCAATATGTTCTTCTAGTGTCTTAAAGTCTTCAGACCTTATTCTGTTCAAGGAATCATCATAAGTGTACTCATGAATTTTAACAAAAAACATTAAAATTAATTAATCATTTGAATTACCTAACAATAAACCATTTAATTTGAGAACGAATTGGTATCACTTGAATGTTGATGAACTGTACACTACCTGGAGTGCCATCAGGTGTAGAATCATGGTTATCTGAACTGTACACTAAGAAAGAACTTTCCAGTTCTTGGAAACATAAACCCTATAAGGTTTTATCGATATTATCCAGTTTTCAGTTACGACTGTTCTATTTATTGTACCATAGGCCAACGTCAATTTTTGAAGACTTCAACACAAAATATAAATGACAAAAAGTAGGTATATTATTAAAAAAAATAATATTAAATACATTTTAAGTAGGGGCCTTAAACGGAATATTTATATAATTAATAATTATATATAATATATGTTAATTTATATAATATATAATATAGTTAATCATACCATTGATACTCGGTTGAAATGTTCTGAGCTATAAGTGTCCAATCAACAGAATTGTATCGACTCAAAATAATTGATAATGGATGTTTGGCCCCATTATTGGTATCCATTTCACCACTACTATTTCAAGACTAAAAGCGATGGGCAAAATTGACAAAAGAATCAACTCATTAAAGTAGACACTCACAAATGCTTTTTCATTGTCATTGACTAGCAGTGTGCCTAGTAAATAAACTGAAAAAAAAACACATTTAGATGAAAAATTATACACATATTTATGATTATGTTTTTTATAATGTATTGGATATAATAATATAACTTAAGTGTTATACCAACCGAATGGCAGGCTCGAATGTACAACGATACTTAATGATGTTCGCTTGATGTGATGCATTATGAAATTGTTGTATTCTTTGTCGATCACCGAGTCAAACAGACTCTCGACGGTAAGACCATTGGACACAAACTCTGTAGTTCTGAGCACAAAACCAACCGAAACGATCATGTAGAACAGAGTGTAGACCAACAAGGACGTGTATTCTAACATCTTGGCAATGACTGACAAGGATGATTTACACTAAGGGACTTGCAAAACACTGCATTGTAATATTAGATCATAGGTAGACAGAGTAGAATCACATTTATTATGATGCGGAATTTTGAACAATAAAACTACATCACTCACGACTTACGCCGAAATTTGGAGGTTTGTGATGAATGTAAATTTACTGCGATTTATTAATACTAAAACTAAATAGTATATTCAGTAACATATCCTGACGGCTGACACCACAACCACCATACGGCAATATATACGGATAGATATACCCTTACCCACCATACAAAAAAGATTAAACATACCCACGTCAACTCAAATAAAACACGAGATAACGTTGTGATTGTGATAAAAGATTTTTTTTTCGAAAAATTAACTCAATTCCCAAAAAATCTGTGTATTTGAATGATGATATCGAGAAATTAAAAACGCTACATCAGAATCTCTAATATTAATGCGAACTATAAATATACAATGCTCAAAATATTGTTAGATAGTATCTAATAGATACTGCATCACCACTGCAGACAGTATAGTTTTAAATATTGAATTATAAATAAAAAATATAAATATAAGACAGGGTCGGGTTGGATCATTTAAAATAAGTACCTCAACACAGATACTCGATACTTCATAATTACATTAAATTACCATAAGTTATTACGATAATATTAATATCTATTCTGAATTATAAGTTTTAAAATCATCACTACATACCAGGATTTCAGTAAGCCTAGTTTATATTTTATGAGTATTTATTAAAATTTAAAAACACTTTTCACAACAGTATGCGTATGTATACTTTTCATAATTTAAAATTAACACAAGTATTAAGTATATAACTAAATTAATAATGATATTATGTTCAGTTTTTAAAATGACTGCCAATGGCGCCAATATACTATGACGTGTGGA